GTCATCACCATCATCACCACCATCATCACCATCATCATCACCATCGTCATCACCGTCACCTTGACCATCACTATCACCATCATCATCACCATCATCACCATCATCATCACCATCATCACCATCATCTTCTTCATCATCAACACCATCATCACCACCATCATCTTCTTCATCATCACCATCATCTTCTTCATCATCAACACCATCATCACCACCATCACCACCATCATCATCATCATCATCATCATCACCGTCACCTTGACCATCACTATCACTATCATCATCACCATCATCACCATCATCACCATCATCTTCTTCATCATCAACACCATCATCACCACCATCACCACCATCATCATCATCATCATCATCACCGTCACCTTGACCATCACTATCACCATCATCATCACCACCATCACCATCATCATCACCACCATCACCATCATCATCTTCATCATCAACACCATCACCATCACCATCTCCATCATCACCATCCCCACCCCCATCCCGATCCCGCACGGCGGTGTTTATCCAGGTGCAATCATTCCAACAAACCCCATTTCCCGATGGAATGAAGCTCTATCCGAACCGAGGCGTTTGGGGAACCAAAGGGGCTCCTCGGAGAATTCCCAAGGTGGACAGGGAGGAAAATCCCGCGGGAATTCCCAACTTTCCTCTGCCCGGAGGAGCGACAGGAATTGCTGCTGCCTCCCACCACCAGCAGGGAAATCACTGCTCAGGAGTTTTGAGGCAAATTTCACCGCGGATCCGACAAAATCTGCAATTCCAGAGGCTCCTGGAGTGGATGGAATCCCACAATTCCCACAATTCCTCTGCGGTGAGCAATTCCAGGGATGGAATTCCATCCAAAATGCTTTTCCAAGGGTAAATCCCTCCAGGCCAGGTGGCAGGGGAGTGGTTCTCACCTTTCTGCAGGGTACTGGGGAAGGACAGGGTGACCTTTTCATCCTCGTTTTGATAGTTGAACCCCGTGGCGTGAACCTCTGGAATGGGAAAAAAACAGCACCGGGATCAGGGAAAAACCATCCTGGAAAGGGGTTTGTGCTCAAAATTCTGCAAATTCACCCAAATCTGAGCTCAACAGAATCGGTTCTGAGGGGTTCAGTGGGAGGAGATCCCTCGTGGTGGGAATTCCAGGGAAGGGAAAGTTCCAGGAGTGGGAGCTGTGCTGAAAAACCCCAAACCTGCAGGAGAAATGGGATCTGTGTCCTGGGAATGTCCTGGTGGGAATTCCATGGAAGGAAAAGCTCCTGGAGTGGGAGCTGTGATGAAAACCCCAATCCTGCAGGAAAAAACAGGATCTGTCCTGGGAATGTCATGATGGGAATTCCAAGGCAGGAAAAGCTCCAGGAGCTGTGCAGAAAAAGCCCAAACCTGCAGGAAAAATGGGATCTGAGCCCCCGAATGTCCTGGTGGGAATTCCATGGAAGGAAAAGCTGCAGGAGCTGTGCAGAAAAACCCTAAACCTGCAGGAAAAGCAGGATGAGCCCAAGGAATGTCCTGGTGGGAATTCCAAAACAGGAAAAGCTCCAGGAGCTGTGCAGAAAAACCCCAAACCTGCAGGAGAAAATGGGATCTGAGCCCCAGGAATGTCCTGATGGGAATTCCAAGGCAGGAAAAGCTCCTGGAGTGGGAGCTGTGATGAAAACCCCAATCCTGCAGGAAAAAACAGGATCTGTCCTGGGAATGTCATGATGGGAATTCCAAGGCAGGAAAAGCTCCAGGAGCTGTGCAGAAAAACCCCAAACCTGCAGGAAAAACGGGATCTGAGCTCCAGGAATGTCCTGGTGGGAATTCCATGGAAGGAAAAGCTCCTGGAGCTGTGCAGAAAAACCCCAAACCTCCAGGAAAAAACGGGATCTGAGCTCCAGGAATGTCCTGGTGGGAATTCTGAAACAGGGAAAGCTCCTGGAGTGGGAGCTGTGCTGAAAAACCCCAAACCTGCAGGAAAAATGGGATCTGAGCCCAAGGAATGTCCTGGTGGGAATTCCAAAACAGGAAAAGCTCCAGGAGCTGTGCAGAAAAACCCCAAACCTGCAGGAAAAAACAGGATCTGAGCCCCAGGAATGTCCTGATGGGAATTCTGAAACAGGGAAAGCTCCTGGAGTGGGAGCTGTGCAGAAAAACCCCAAACCTGCAGGAAAAATGGGATCTGAGCCCAAGGAATGTCCTGGTGGGAATTCCAAAACAGGAAAAGCTCCAGGAGCTGTGCAGAAAAACCCCAAACCTGCAGGAGAAACGGGATCTGAGCCCCAGGAATGTCCTGGTGGGAATTCCATGGAAGGAAAAGCACCTGGATTGGGAGCTGTGCAGAAAAACCCCAATCCTGCAGGAAAAGAAGGATGAGCCCAAGGAATGTCCTGGTGGGAATTCCATGGAAGGAAAAGCTCCTGGAGCTGTGCAGAAAAACCCCAAACCTCCAGGAAAAAACGGGATCTGAGCTCCAGGAATGTCCTGGTGGGAATTCTGAAACAGGGAAAGCTCCAGGAGTGAGAGCTGTGCTGAAAAACCCCAAACCTGCAGGAAAAATGGGATCTGAGCCCCAGGAATGTCCTGATGGGAATTCCAAGGCAGGAAAAGCTCCTGGAGTGGGAGCTGTGATGAAAAACCCCAAACCTGCAGGAGAAAAGGGATCTGTGTCCTGGGAATGTCCTGATGGGAATTCCAAAACAGGAAAAGCTCCAGGAGCTGTGCAGAAAAAACCCAAACCTGCAGGAAAAACGGGATCTGAGCCCCAGGAATGTCCTGGTGGGAATTCCATGGAAGGAAAAGCTCCAGGAGCTGTGCAGAAAAACCCTAAACCTGCAGGAGAAACGGGATCTGAGCCCCAGGAATGTCCTGGTGGGAATTCCATGGAA